GTGACAAGTGTTCTATGTATTCGTTCCATTCGTAAATTTGTTTTTTTACTAAAGAAAAATAAAATAAAACAAGATAAATGTTTTATTCATGTATGCTTTATTGTATTTCATGTTTTTGTTTACTAAATAAAAATTATCTATTTAAAATAAATATATATGAAATATTTGTTAAAAAGAAATTTTCAATTTTTCTCATTTTGAATATATATATTTTCTTTAGACTCTTTATGATATCTTTCTGTTTCATCAACGCGCACTTAATTAGTTCTTTTCATCGACATTTTTTTTAATGAACAATATCAGAATTGTACTAAAGAAATATTGCTTTGGAAAAACAAATAAACTAAATAATAATGCATTGCAAAAGATTACTAAAAACGGATGTTATGATTAATAGAAAGACCACTAAATTGGTTTTGATTTGTGGACTTGACTATTGTTCACATATAAGATCAGGGTGTGGGTGTGGGTGCTCTTTCCTTACACACCCACACCCACACCCAAAAGTCATTGGAAAAAAAGTTTAGGCTACCATTCACTCAAATTCGGAAGGTGATTGCTATTGAGAGACAAAGTTTGGAATAGGTTACTCAATTTTCTTATTCTTTATGAACTCATCTTCAGAATCTAAATTGTTTAATTTACATGTGGTCTGATAGAGCAAAACACGAACTATCCGAATATATCAAAAATTGTTTGTTTCAGTCTTAAAATAATGAAGAATACATTCTCGCAATGAAAATGATAGTACATTTGTTTTTGAAATGTTTTTTTGAAACTTTGCATAATTGTATTTAGATTTATTCTGACCAAAGTGTACATACGAGTTTATAACATTTTGATATCGAAATGATCGACATGTTAATGTCTACAAATCTTGAAAGTTGCAGTCGATTTGAAGATGGTCGATGAAAACTTGGTACGTTGTCTATAGAATAACCTATTTTAATATTCTATTGGAGAAGAAATATCAGTTGAAGATTTACCGAAACCATTCTTTTTCGTGCAGCGTTCAGCAAAAGAAAACACTCGATTTCGATCATTTTACATGAACAAATTATTTGACTTACTCCTCCTTATAGATTCTTGTTCATTGTGACTTGTTTCCTTTTCGAGATACTTGAAATTAGCATCAAAGTGATCAAAAATATTTCTAATGAACAATTATTATGAGTGTGCGTGGATATTCTGTTCCTCCGCAGCCACACCTATATCGAACACATCTCTACATGTATATTCACATCATTCAGCCACAGTGACACTCACATTCACCCCACACACCCATACTCATTGCATGCCACACCAGCCCTCAACATAGTTGTTGGGAAAATCTAAAGTAATAACAGTTTAGGTGTGAAGAATTCTAGATATGTATATAGATGTAGTTTCATTTTTGTACGTAATTCTAAATGTTGTAGTGGTATTTCTTGTGTAAGTCAATATGACGCACGAAGAGTAAATCAAAAAAAGAGAAAACGTCTTATTCGAACTCTATAGAAAAAGCTTTATTTGCACAAGGTCAAGGGAGTGAATTGTAAAATACCTTCCACTTGCAGTTTTTGCAATATTTAAATCGACAGTTCAACTGAAGTGTTCAAGAATCTTTTTGAGAACGTGTATCTAAGAGTTGTATTCGAAATTGAATCGATATAGAATGAAATAAACAATGGAAATGCTAGTTAGACTGATTATTGAAACTTCAGAGAACAAAATAAAATATCCATTTGCATAAGATGCTTGCTTTAAATGAAATAGATTCGAGTACAACTCTTACAGAATATGACAACTGAATAGGACGTTCCATAAGATTTCTTACTATCAATAGATCTTTAAATTAAAATGTGATCTGAAAACAAAAAATGATATGGATAATGAAGATTACGAATAAAATTTATTCATTTGAAAAATATTCGTTCAGTATATCATTTTTTTTTAGTATTGATCTATATCATTTTTCACTTGGTTTTGCCATGATAATCATAGAAAGTACAAGATTTTTATTTTGTAAATGAACTTTCACTTGACTGAGAATTGTAATTGTCAATGATTTTTCATCGTCAGTATAATAAACACGATAAATTGAATAGTTCTTTGGATTAGCAAGTAAACATTCAATTTCACCAATTGACATCTGAAACGTATTTTGATCACATGATCGAGTTGTTTTGACTTCAATCAATTCCGTTTCATTATTTGTCGTTTTGTGCACTAGTCGAATGTCAAACGGTAAACCAGACTCGGTTTGTTGATTGACCCATTCGATTTGTTCATCAGAATATTTCCATTGAAGATATCGAAAGACGAAATATTCATCACATCGACCTGTCTTAAGATCATCTTCCTGATTACCTGAACTTGCATTATCAGCTGATGGCAATACATTCAATATGGAAAGATTATAATCATGTATATTTGAAACACGAATACATTTGAATATAACCGAAGGTACTTGTGTCAAAGAAATATTTCTTGTTCCCGATGTTCGATCGGATGATCGTTCAACTTCAATTGATCTTTGTTGAGTATTTACTAGAATAGACATAATAGAATATGAACTGAATTGAATCATTTATCTCGTTCATACTTGGAATCGATTGATTAAAATTTTTGACTTAACGGATGGAAAAACCCGGTGTGTTTAATATATCAATTAAGCAATTAGTTCTTTTGAAAAATAGTTTATTACTTTAGCTTTATGAAGAAGTACAATGTAAAATTCATATAACTCTTGGAGTTTTTAGTAATAACAACTTCTATTTTAGTCTGTTGTATTTCAGTTAGTAACTCATAGCAACTGATATTGAACAACATGTATACTTTTTCTCTATAAAGATATGATTTCTTTATAATTGATAAGTTTGATCTATTCTTATTTAAAACAATTATTATTATTTAACACAACTGAAAAGCATTTCAATCCGTAAAAGGATACTATTGTCGATAGAATGATAGTACGGTTTTTTTAATGTTAAACTTCCTATTCAAAAGTTTCTCAAAATCTAAATATTTTAATAGTTACATGATGCTAATAGCTGACAAGATCTTGACAACAGGACAAAAACTACGGAAATCGTTCAAAACCAGCAAAACAGGTCAACTTTAGTGGCTCAAAAAATCAATAAAAAGAAAATTGGTAAATCAGTTGCTACGGTTCCAAGTATGATCTCGTTTATAATTTCTTACCATTGGTATTGGTGTGTTTATTGTGCAGCACCACTTGTTCATCAGTTTTTTTTCTTTTGTTCAAATTGACTATCATTGTTTACTTTTAGGTATTGTGGAGCATTCTTATTTTTCTTTTCATCTTGATCATTTTCATTCTTCTTCATAGAATCTGTAGTGATTGTTGTCGATTTAGAAGAAGATATTATATTGTTTTCAGACGGAGATGATGTGAAAATTTTTTCTTTTGTAACATTGTCTTGTTGTGATTTTCTTTCGAGTGAAACTATATTCGATGGTGAATTCAATCCTGGTGTTCCTAGTTTGACTGGAAAACAGACAAGTGGCTTTGGTCCTTCCACTTCTACTTTATTAGGTTGAAGTTTTAATGGAAAACAATCTGATTCTTTTTTCATGTTTTCAATTGCTTCATCTGGAATATTGACGGATGCATTATTGATATTTGTTCGTTGTTCATCATCGTCTTCTTCTTGTTTTAATAATAATGATTCAGATTCTTTGACAATTGATGGTATAACCCATTTGAAAGTATCTGCTTGTGAAGGTAAGGTTTGTCGTAAACTTATTAGACCTTCTTCTCCTTTTTGTTGATATGTCTTATAGAGATTCTTGATAAATTCTACAAGTTTACGACGTATTAATTCATTTTCAATTAAATAATTTATCATTGTATCAATATGTTTTTCTGGTTTTTCAATTGTGTTTAAAATAAAAAAATTTCCAATTGATTCATCAATATAGGACGAATGTATTTTTGATGATGTTGATATTCGTCTTGTATTATTATTGTACGAATACGAGAAACAAATTCGATCGTGTTTCAGATAGAGCATTGTGTTTGATAAAAAATGATTGAATAAGATCAATAGTATGTCTATAAAAATTGGTTAATTCCATCGATGGATATTCATTATCGCCATCAACAAAAATCTGGATTACATCGGCAAGATTTGGAATTTTAAACATTGAACAAAACATATTTTTTAAATTCGGAGTACAAATACGATCTAGGAGTCGAATGTATAAATAAAAAGTTTACAAATATGGTTTTCGACTAGGGTGCGGGTATGCGTGTGGGTGTGGGTGTACTTGTGAATATTTCATTAACCCACATCCACCCACACCCTAATGCCACCTATTCCCAGTCATTTAATTGATCATTTGGTTATACCATTGTAGGGTGTGGGTGTGGGGTGTGGGATGTGAGTGTGAGTGTGGATATGGGTGTAGGTGTTCACTAAGAGATACTAACACCCACACCTACGTTCCTATATGAATGGACCAGCTTCATTTTAGTCATTGAGTAATGTTTCAGGAGTGAAATCAAGCTTGATATCATTGTTTAATATTGCTTGAATTTTGAAATGGGTACTGTTTTTAGCATTACAAAGGATGTATAAACGAATTTAACTCTCCATTAAAATTTAGAATATCTATCCAAAGAAAAACAACCAAATATTCTGTTAGTTCACTATCGTTGAACTTCTTCATATGTAATAAAGAACAAGAATATTAAAAAAAAGGCAAACCAGTGTGCTATTCAACGATAAAATTACATTATTCATTGTTTTTTTTTGTTTCTGTTTTTACTTTTTATTACATGCACATGTGTAATCATTGAGTATGTTCGCATCAGTGATAAAGAAATATGCAACGAGATACGCACGTATACGATTAGAAAAAAAGTACTTTCAGCAAACTTCGTGTGGTATCAAAATGAATTTCTTAATCTTTCTTTTATCGAGTAATTCAAACAGTGTGTGAGTGATGAGAAAGACACATTATTTCGTGATTTAATTAAAAATCCGTTTTACACCGACACCCCACACCCTACATTGTCGAGTACTTCGATGGAGTCTTGACGAAGATGAGTCACATCTATTCAGTGCCGTAATTATTATCAATCCACTAACTATCCAACGTTGACTTAATATAATATTAGATCTACCGATCCATTTTGTTACTTAAAGACATGTCTCATTTGTTCTTGTAAACTTAAACAAAATTTTTGAAGCATCTTGTGTGTTCTAAAAATGATTCATCTGCGTTTTTGTTTTGTCTATTATACATTATTTTCATGAATCTTGACGCTGAAAACAAACAAAATCCTATGTCTCTGATCTGTCAAGATCTACAAAATCTTTTTCTTTTTCCAAAAAAAAAGATCTTCATTGCCAATAGAAATCGATATTAGGGAGGAACATTTGCAGAGAAAACGTGTCGTTTAGAAATTCTAGAGTTCTACTTCTTTTGACTTAATTTATTTCATTTATAACTCTCATAAAATATCAGACAAACAAAAGTCTTGGTAAAATTTGTTTTTGTACCTAGCCGACTGTATCTCTCTTCTTTGTAAGATACAGGATAGAGATTTCTTCAATTAGAAGGACACAAAACAAGGAAACATGTGATTTAGACATCTCTAAGATTTGCTTTCGTGTTCTAGATTTTTCTAATTATATATCCATACAATGGCGAATAATGGAAGAGAAACTGAAAATTTAATCGATAATCATGCACTAATTATTCAAAACAACATTTGTAAGTAACAATCATAGAAAAAACTAAAGCTTGATTTCTACTTGTACTAATAAACACATATCTTTCATCAATAGATTTTCAAAATGATATGAACAGTCGACCAAAGCATATCAATCTAACAATAACCAACAAAATTATTTTTAATCTTGCTGGTCAAATGTCAATACCAAATACCGACAACCGAACTACAATTCAACATACCACAGAAGCGCCTAACAATATGGTCGAGGATGGCGATACAAAGGATAGTCAATCCAATCATGAAAGTCAACCTGTTCAAGATGTTCCACTGCACCGCCATATTAAAAACAAAGTTAATGCAAAACTTTTGTCCCATTCGTTATTTTTTTGTTACGTATTAACATTTTTATTATAAATCTTCCTTTTGAATAAAAAAACACCTCTGCAAGAAATAAATTTAAGACCACGGAAAAAACAATTTTCCGCTCTCACACACCATCTGATTATCATCTAAACAGACTCTAAACATACCATCCAAACGTTCACATAACACTCTTAAACGAGGTCCCAATCCAAATAACTACATGGTTTGCAACTAATACATAAGGCTCGAGCAAAGACCCCATGCAAAACACTTAGCTTTTCTGATCATTCCTTACATATGTCTACTAATTCGATAATATTGTTTAACAAAACTGCAATTCAAACCAAAACCAAGGATATCTATCTTATAACGTACCAGCAAACGAATATAAACATCCACGAAAACTGACTAAACTAAAATCAACCAGCTTTCCTCATAGATTAACTAAAATGCGCAAGAAGAAAATATTCAAAGCTATCGGATGAGTCCTTTAGCAAGGGTGAAATCGCGATAATGGTTGCTAGACTCATCACCCTACCTCTCATGAAAAAGAATTGGACAAATTATACAGACGATTATTTTAGTACAGAGTTGTCCAAAAGTTACGCATCCAAAAAACTTGAATATCTCTGTTACGGCTTGATCAGACGAGTTCATTTTTTTTACCAATAATAAAGACAAGGTCATACTTCATATTCATAAAGACAAGGCTAGAATGAATTGTTTTTAAGTATCACTATTGTCTTCAACAAAAATTTTGGTACTTATTTGTTATCGCCCGCAATTTTTTTAAAATTTTTTTTTAGATTTATTTCTAAGATAAGAGAAGATTACCATAGATAAAACGGAACAACACTATTGTTTGTTTTTATATAAACGATTAGTTACTGATTTCGTGCGATAAGCGTCTCTGCAAGTTCAATATAAGCATCAGTCATACGTTTCGCAGAGAAGTTTTTTTCTACATGCTTGCGACATGCAGCGCGGTCGATTTGATCGATAGTTTCAAGCTTCACCTGCATTTCATCAATCGTATCTACTAAATAGCCAATTTTGCCGTCTACAATTAGTTCCGACATTGAACCTCGTTTATTGATAATCACTGGAGTGCCGCAAGCCATTGCTTCTATAACCACAAGGCCAAATGGTTCTTCCCAATTGAGCCACATCAATAGACCTTTTGCGTCTTTCAATAGTGCGTTTTTGCCAGTATGATCAATTTCACCCAGGAACTCAATTTGTTCACTGTCAATGTGCGGTTTAACTTCGTTATTAACATATTCCTCAGTAAATAGATCAATTTTAGCAGCGATTTTTAGCTTATACTTCGTTTTTTTAATCATTTTGCAAAGCTCTGCTAAACCTTTTTCTGGGCTGGTTCTGCCAAGGAATGCAAAGTAATTACCAGTTGGAGTTGGATTGAAGTCGAATTTATCGACTTCAATACCGTTATAAACAGTTTTAACCCAATTAACATCAGGCAAGGCTTTGCGCTGGTTGTCACTGATTGAAACGTGATTGCCTGTTGGAAATTTTGTGTATGCAGCTCGTTCGGATGCAGAAGTAAGTGGACCGTGAGCAATAGATATCATTGGATAATGTACCAAGTTAGAAAATGCTATTAGACGATAGCCGATATGATTAAAGACGATGTCTGGTTTAATTTCATCAATGTATTGCAGAATTTTTTCTACGGCGACAGATTTCCAATACTCCCTCATATGCGCATACTCATCACGATCCGCTGAGCGAAGCGATTTTTCGACGATTGGTATCAAGTTCGCACGGGTTATGGAGTCTCCAGAGGCAATTAAGTAAACATCATTGCCACGCTTGACCAATTCTTCAGTAATGTTTGAAACAATTAACTCCGCGCCGCCATATGTTTTTGGCGGAACAGGATCTTCAAAGGGAGAGATAAGAAGATATTTCATAAAACTTTCTTTGTATACTATTATCTGCAAACATAAAAAGTATATATGAATAATATTATCAAGTAAAGTAGCTCTACTTTACCAAAAAAGTACAGTAAATTAAAGTTAAAAAAGAAACTATTCTTATTTTACTCCAAAACAGATGCTTAGAGTAAAATAAAATAAGATATCATCTTTTTAGGCAAAAAGTAAACTAAAGTATAACAAATCAAAGTAGGACTGCACAGCTTACGTTCATCTGAGCGTGAGCGTTTCTTCTGTACTGTTCATGAACTATCATAGGAATACCTATAACCCTTCATGCGATATATAAGGAGGGTATCCATAAGTTCTCATAGGCTTCCTAGAGTTGGTCTCTGTTACTCGTTGAGGTCGATAAAGAATGGTTTTCATATCTCTTCCAGTGCTTGATGGTAGTTATCTCCATATCTAACGAAGACTATTTCCGCAGTATTACTCATATTTCTTGGTGGCTTGTGACAACATGGACCCATTAACTCTTTTGAGCCTATCTCATGGCTTGTTCTGAGAATGTTCCTAGAGGTTTCTGGGTTGATCCTGGAAACTGGTTAGTGCCTTTCTAAGTGTAATTCGCATATGGCTGAGCGCTTTATTTCCATATGTACCAATGATTTCTCAGTAGCAAAACATGAGAATTTGTGCCCAACTATTGGTGTCTCTTCAATGCTTCGTGTCTTTTAGTGATCAAAACGTGCGCTTTTGTTGCTTTGATGATCGATAGTGTCTCTAACTTGTACGTGATTGATTCTTATATTGGGATTTGTGAAGCACCTTAGGTACAGTTAATAGTATTCATTGATTCTGAGAGGGATTTTGTAACTCTACAAAAATTTTCTCACTGTGTAATCAGAAATGGCTACTGTTGTGTATGTGTCTGGCATTATAGATGTACTCTTCGTCTATAGCTGCATGAAGACACCGACAATTACTTAATATTATCGATATCGTCTCCTTGTTATCAATTCATCATTTTAATCAACTTTTTTTTTTCTTCCATACCATGGAACATCTTCAAATAATCTCTTACTCTGCAAAGGGCTAGAGCATGATTATGTTTGTGATTCCGTTGAAAAGAGCGCGTCATTCTATATGTTCATATAGCAACAAATATATATGGGCGTGATCAGTCAACATGGTACCCCAAAATATATCCGTTTCGATGACTTTAACTTCTTATCAGAAAAATGTGATTTTTTTACCAGTTGTAACTCATTTGTAGTGCTAACGATCTGCTATTGTCTGACCTCTATATCTTACTAGGAGCGGAAATTATCTAGTGTTTACTTACAAGTAGCGCGAATCCAAGAGATTCGCTGACTCTTTTCTGAAAGAAGGAAAATCTATCATTGTATGCTTGAGAAGAAAATTTATTCTGAAGCAGTAGATGTTTTTCCTAGAAATACGCAATTTCGATCTCGAATTTAAACTAAAGCATGTCGATTCCCATACAGTTCCGATGCAAAAAAATGCCAGTTTTAACCAAGTCTAGTATTTCTATCAGCAATATACCAGTTACTTATCTCATGCTTGTATTATCGTAACTATTGCTCTATTATGTAAACAAAAATTGTGCCAAAGATGAGATTTTTGCAATAGCGTTACATTTATCCTGCTCAACGTGCAATATTTTTGAGAAAAAAGTACCGCATTTGAATCACTATCAAAAGTCAATTACTGTCTACTAATTTTTACTGATATTTCATAAGTGAGTTATTGAAATTTAAAACAAGATCTTTTCGTAACGCTATTCCAGCGATACTGTTCAAGTATTATTTTGAGAATAACATCATGTAGATAGAAGGAAAAAAGTTTCTTCTGTTTTCCACAGAAAGATCATACAGGACAGTTTAAACAACATTTGATAGCGGAGGTTGAAGCTTCACATTAGGATGCATAAATAGTTTCACAGCAAGATAAAATATATTGCAACGAAGAAAACTCCAATTAATGCTTAATGTATACATTTTATAGATATATAGAAACGATCTTCCGAATCATAAAGTATATTTTCTTACATTTTTGTGTTTACTCTACAACGTGATATAAACATTGATTTCGAATTCTGAAGTAAATACTTATGTCTGATATGTCGCATTCCATAGAAAAATCGATATATAGTTAATTAAAAATACTTACAATGAAAATTAACACCAGAATATATTGAAGTTGTTTTTGTGCATCTTGTAAGCAAGCTATCTTACGTATCTATATTCAATGAAATTACTTGGTTTTTTTTTCAGGTAATGTTTATTTTTACGTGGATCAATCAACCGTGTTATTTCATACACATTGTGATGAGATAGACATGGGTTAATATTTTTCGCACACGTTTTTTTCATCACACTACACTATACAGTTTTGTCTTTTCTTTCAATTTTTTGCTCGATGCAAGAGAAAAACAAATCCGTATATTTATACGACATAATCCTTTTACTAGATTTTTTTTCTTATTATTTTGTGTTTTTTTTCAAGCATGAATCAATATTTTTGTTCTAATGATATCATTCGAATACATCACGTATTTTCCTTGCTAGTTTATATTATCTTTCCCTTTTCTTCTGATCACTGTTTGATGTTTTAATTTACGTATGCATACTTGTAGACTTTCTTGGAAACTTGCATAAGATATCGTATGTTATGAACTGATTAATTCTAATTTGAAAAGACTTTTCGATTGTGTAAAGACTCGTATCTATGTAATAGAAGATATAACAAGAAATAGTCTTGGATATGACTGAATAAATGATGATTAATTTTAGTATTTGTTTGATTGAATCAACATGACTATTTTTAAAAAAATTGACAGATCACTGACAAAATATTCAAAAGTAAAATTTCAAAAACTGAAGTAAAAAGTATCATAGTCAAACAAATAATTAACTTTTCATCCAATACAACACTAACCAAATCATTTTATTTACAGCTGTTGTTGCTCTAAATGGTTATTATTGTAGATTCGAGAGTAAATAATAGTTTAACTTCATTTCATTTTATTCCACCAAAACTCATCTACCATGATGATTTAAGACATACACATTAATTAAAAAGGTTTTCCAGAAAATCAAAATGATTTTGAGGATTTCGAAATAAATTTTTAGGATTTTAAAAGTCTAAAAATATTGCTGACTTCAATCTTTGACGATTTTCATTTCAAAACTCTGAAAACTACATATTTTGATTTAAATATACCAATTAAAGTTTTCGACTTTTTAAGAAATTATTTTAATTAGAAAATATGGCAAAACTTAATTTCACTGATTCAACTAGTGAATTTTGCTAAATTGTTTTATGAAATTTACTTAAACTTGAAATTAATTCTATGAATATAATTTCTTCTTCAACTACAGAACATCGAAATATTATATGTAATAATACTTGAAAATCACAAATGGTGGCAGCACATTTGCATACTGAGGAATTAGTCAACGCGTCAGGTCTCAAATATACAATCATTTATGAAGGCATCTATTCTCAAACTTACTCAATTTTTGTTGAATATTTTGATCTAGCAACAATAACTGAAATTGTTGTCTCAGGTGATGATACCATTACTTTTTTCATTAAGAAAACTTCTTGACAAAGCAACAACTAAATTATTATTCTAATCGAATGATTGTAAAACTCCAATGATTCTATTAACTGGTTCAAAACCTTATACAATCAAACAAACAGTTGCATTAGTATCAGAGATTTTAGATCATAAGAGCAGTTTTAGAATAGATACTATTATTTTCTTTATAATATATTTCTATGGTGAAAATATATTTAAAAAATCGACTATAACCATTTTTTTTCCAGGGGTATACAATATGCTTGGATTTAAGTCTAGTAATCAAATGACAACATTGATTCTGAGATGTCGATTTCGATTAGGTTTAACTTATGTATAAGTTCAATGTCCATCGAAAGATTACTCAATTTAATTGATAATAGCATTTTGCTATGTATCCTAAGCTTTGTAATTGAGTTTATTGATCGATTTGCATGATACGAAGATTGACTTCGACGTTTTATTTATTTTTCGACTATGAGTTTCATTATTGGGAGCATAGTGATAATCTGTTTTTTTTTCTTCTTAAATAGTTTTATATAAAATAGAATTTTATACATAAAAAAAAACTCTCTCTCATGTCGGCGTAACATGGTTTTTTATGTTATTAAGTAAAAAAATAATCGAAGCAAAAGAAATATTATCCTTTAATTATGAATAGATTTAAGATCAAAATGACAGTTGTCAGTCATCATAATTCCATTAATACCATGATACTAAATGAAGATATCCATTTTCTTGATGATTTTCAAGATAGAAAAGCTCAGCTATCATTTGTATCAGCACGTATAATAAGATTGTTTCGAAATGTCCTGAACATGATATCTTTGTTGACATAGAATTATTTTTGCCTGCCGAATATAGGTCCAACAAGTAAAGACATTTGATTGTGTGTAAAAAATAAGTATAGAAAATCTATTTTAATTCTCTTATTTTTATCTATCGCATTCAATGAATGCATTAAAAGATAAATATTATTTCCACTCGAATAAGGAAAAAAGCCAGCTAAAATTCAAAAGAATATGATTTTCTAAAGACTTCGTTCATCAAAATTTTATTGGCATCAGCCTTTTTTATCCTAGGTTTTTTTTACAACTTTAATCTAATAAACAGGGTAAGTCATAAATAGTCCTGTGATAAAAATTTGAAACATCTCGGCTTCGATTAAGTCTAATGGGCTAAGTTTTTAGTCAATGATGAAGATATATTAAAAGTTTTTGTTTTTCATACGTATAACATAAGTAAATACTACTGCCAAGTTAAATTTTTTTCATCTTGCGATACAAATTTCATCTATTGTCAAGTAAGAAAAATATTTATGAAGTATTTCATATAGATAATTTTCAGTTATCATCATCGAAGAGAATAGTTAGACAAAATGAACATAAACTTCATGAATAAAATGCACAGTTGTAATCGATAGAACATGAAAATATCAGCGTGTTTGCAAAAACCAATGTTTGATGTTTTAAAAATTCGAAACCTTATTATCGTTACCTTTTGAACTAAATAACTCTGAAATAGTGTCATTCATAGACTTCCTTTCGATTTACTATTATTATTGTTATTATTATTATTCTTTTATAAAACGCTACACATGTATTTGTTTCATTTGATAGTAGATTATAAATTTCTACCCCACAAGCTAAGCTAATTTGATGAAAGCGACCCGAAGATTTTTTTTTGTGATAATGTTATTTATAACCTAAGCTATATGATAATTTCTAACATTCATCTGAAAAATCATGCTTTTTTTTAATCTTCCTAATATGTTCTAATTGACAATGTTAAAAGAATCTTTGTAGACTTCAGGCTGTGGTAAATATTTCATATTTATGAGCGCCCCAATGTCATTGTTTTTTGAGGAAGCAATGACTTCCTCTCGCTACCACAGCGCGCTGTCTATGTTCATATTTTTGCAATTTCTAACATAAAGTCGTGTTAAGAATAATTAAAAACAAAATTTCTTTATAATGAATATCTACTGATGTAATTTTTCATAGTCTTCAAAATCAAGAGAAAGTGTTCAAATCTTTCAAAGCTCGTATTTCTTACACTATATATATATATATATTGTTATCTTTAGCGAATAAGAAATTGTTATTATTGAAAAGAAAAACAAGGACAATACTATTCATTACTCCTAAAAAAAGGAAATCAACACTGCATATACATAATGTCATTATTATCAACAGCACAATTAATTCTTAATGCTTCTCAACATTATACAATTTATGCTAGTTTTATTATTTTATTTTCTGGTGTTTTTGGACATATTGCTAACATCTTTGTATTTACTCGTCATACAATTTTTCGAGGAAATCCATCTGCTTTTTATCTCATTGCAGAATCAATTCTTGATTTACTTGAATTGACGATTGTAGATACAGCTAATATTGCAATTCATGGATTTGGTAATGATTTAACACAAACATCATTACTTTGGTGTAAATTAAGAGCATTCTTGACACAATCTCTAACTGTTATTTCACTTAATATTGTTTGCTTTGCTGCTATCGATCAATATTTATCAACAAGTTATCATCCATATTTAAGACAAAAAAGTACAATAAAAGGAGCGAAAATTTTTACTACTATTGCAACTATATTTTGGATTTTACATAATACATTAGCTTTGTTCTTACTTGAAATTCAATCAAAATATGGATGTAATATATATAATCAGAAATTTAGACATTATGTCACATATTTCTATTATCTCATACTCATTGGAATTTTACCGATTACTATTTCGACATTTTTCAGTATACTAGCTTATCGAAATGTTCGTCGTATTGTACAACGTCAAATGCCAATACGTCGACGAAAACTTGATCAACAATTGACAGCAATGATTCTTGTTCGAGTTGGATTTTTAGTCGTTATGATATTACCATATCTTGTACAACGAATTTATACACTTAGTACATTAACAAACACTGACAGTATGATTTCTCACGTCATTCTACAACTTTTTACAGCTATAACTATTTCATTGTTTGATCTTAATTATGCAGTATGTCAAAATTTAGAGATTTATTTTATTTATCTTGATTATTTTAGGGTTCTTTCTATTTATTTTTAATAACATCAACACGATTCCGACGACAAGTTAAGTGTGTTTTTATAAATAAATGTTGGCGAGTATATTGTAGAAAAGAAATACGTCAAAATCAAGTTGCAACATTGGTACAATGTACCACTAGTGAATTTGATTTACAACAAATTCAATAATATACAATAGATTATTATGCGATTATTATTAATGCAATACTATTCAATATATATAGAACATGAAATATTTCAATGACTTGTATTGGATGCTTTTATTACGAAAAAAAACACATTTTTATGTTTCTATGTACCAAGATCAATGATTTAGACGATAGAAGAGTGTGAGTGTAATACCCGCACTCTTGAAACTTTAGAAGGGATGTAAAAAATTTTTGTCCAAAGCAATGTGTGTTTAAAATAGCGAATGATTTCTAAGTATTTGCTCTTGTAATTTCCTGTGTGTAGAATACAATTCGACTAATATTTTATCTAAAACAATAAATCAGAATATTCCAAATGCATACAAAGAAATTATCAAAAGAACACGATATCTAGCAAATAATTTTCTAAGTATATTAGATGTTTTCATAGACATTTTAAATAAAAATGACAACTATGTAAAATTCCATTTCGATATATTTGCATGTATTGTTATGGTATCTGAATGAAATAATTTGCAGTTGATCATTGAGAGGTTTAAGAGCAGCTCATGATGGAGGTTTGAAGTCTTGTATATTTCATGAATGATGTGATAATGTTATTGATGAACTAGAAAAAGGAATAGTAACACTGGAGTTTATTTAGATTTTCATTTGTCCGAAACTATATTTTAATTTTTGATTTAATAGAAAGATGTCAAGTAAGCGAAGCAGGGTGTGGGTGTGGATGTGGGTGTGGGTGGTGTGGGTGTGGGTGTGGTCACTGAACAGAAACGTTACACCCACACCCACACCCTGCGCCCACACCCACCCCACTCCACACCCACACCCATCTGGATTATCAAGATCATCATCATCATGTTTTGAACTTGAAGTCGATGCTAGAAGTATATTTTTCATAAGTTTAATCTTCATTCTAAGATAATTTTAATAAATACCTTCACTACCAACTGCACAATCGATAGTTCCTTCACCAACATCAGATAAAATATCATCATCATCCTCATCAAAACTTTCTTCTTCATTTTCAGTTCTAGATCTAAAAAAAAATAATTGGTTGGGATGCAATAAGATGGAATAATTTATTTTTCTTTTTTCATTATGGTTTGGGCAATTACTCACGATATGAATAATGGATTTGTCGGGATGAGTGATAATGCTTCTTCAAGTCTTGGTTTTTCATCAGCTTGAAATTTAATCAAAGCCTTTTCGATTCGACGATGTTGTAAAATCCATTTGAGTTCATATTGATTAATTGAATATAAATTAAATAGTAATATAGCCATATCAAATTTATCAGAATAAGATTTCCAATAAATTCCTATAATAATTTAAATAGAAAATTCAACTAATGAATCAGGAATATTTAGATTTCATTTTTCGATTTATTTCAATTGTTCGATATTTTGACCAAACTTTGTAGTCATTATAAAGAGAATCAAAACATTACTCACGAACATTAATTATATCTAATCTTGAATAGCTTGTATTACTACGATAATTTTCAGCATAATATTCCTAAATAGAGAAATAAGTAATCAGGGCGTACCTAACCACTTAGAGCAAGGAGTCGTAGGAGGATTGCAGCATAGACGAGTCTCAAAAATGGGGGCGCTCCGTTGTCTAATTTCAAAAGCAGGGAGTTGTTATATAGGTAAATCTCAGAAGCAGGGGGTTCGTTACGCCCCACGCGACTCCTCTTAGTTTCACCCCTGTAAATAATAATAAGTCGAAATATCGACTAATTGAAATAAATAGAAAAATAAAATCCAAACATTTCTTATTTGTTACTTTGAATTTTACATTGAAATTACTGGATGAGCCATAAGTCAGATAACCGAGAAAAAATTGAATATCTCCATTATGGCTCAAACAAACGAGCTGATTTCTTTATCAATGGTAGAGGCATGTTCAAGCTTTATATCCATAAAGACAAACCTAGAGAGATCTTTTATTAAGTATCACCATTGATCTCAACAAAAAATTTTACTCTTTCACGCATAGGGAAAAAACAATTTACTTGACAAAGGATCTCTCTATGCATGTCGTTATGGATATAAAGCTTGAACATGCCTCTATCATTGGTACAAAAAAATCAGCTCGTTTGCTCGAGCCATGATGAAGATATTCAATTTTTTCTCGGTTACCTTATAGTCCATCGGGTATTTATGAATGAAGTTAATACCTAAAGTAGTATTTTTTGTGCAGCATGAATACCGAATGCAGACGCTTGGGAAATCAATGCCACGACGAGCTGCACGTGCTATATTAGAAAAATATATTTACAGTACTTTGGCGTCAAATTCAGGTTGAAAATTTGATTTTTTTTTGTTTTTGGTGTTTTTTAGTCTTTCGCATTTTTTGTACACAATAAAAGTTGTTTGTCATGTATTATGGCTATGGACGTATAGAGACCACGACTAGCCACAATTAACACCATTTCAATAAGTAAAAACTATTAGTAAATATAAATAATCATTCACCTCATATATAACTGTCGTTCGCCTTATTTTGATTATTTTAATGCAGCGTTACGTATTTGTTATATTTTTACCAGTCGACTATGCACTCACATACAGCAGCTATCATTTACCAATAGCGTTTCATTTAATTGTTATCAATTGCTCTATTATAAAAGAAAATGAACATTGATCCAAACAGCGGTAGCGATAATTATGGTCATGTTGATTAGTATATGGTCATAAATACTGCGACATGCTTATTAACGATAATCTTTTGGTAGAAAGGTTTACATATAATATAGAGAATGCAGACAAATATGAAGAAGCTGACGGAAAGAGGAAAATGGAGACGAAAATGCTAAAATCAGTATGAATGCAGACGATAACATTGAGTAAACTTTTATTAAACGGAAAATCTGAGATAGTATCCCTTCGGTTAGTAACTAGAGTAGTTGATAGTTACTAAACATCTGACTTTTCCTTCTAAATAAGTTGTTTTCGACGTGAAATAGATAAACTTAAAAAATTGATCAAACCAATGTCACACTTTGTTTCACATATCTTTTAATTTATTTCTCTTACAAAGCTAATTCCATGATTTACTAATATTATTATACCATTAGATAGTCTATAGCATTCTCTAATAAATACCCAAGTATAGTCGTAAATTAAAAACAAAAAAACCATTACAAGAGAACTGGTTAAACAAACATCCCATCATCCTGAATTTCACGCCACAGTACTGTAGTATCCATGCAAAAAAAACGAACGTTACAAAAATCATATAAAAGTCAATTATTTTTTATCGAAAATGGATTAATGTGGCACTATTTTTATCTGATTAAAATCTAATTTTTAGCTTTAAGTTTTTGTTTTCTTCTGATTTAAAGATTTTTCTAATCCAAATAATCGATTAAATTTTATCAATCGATTAAAATTGATTAAATTAGTAATCGATTATACAAATTAGAAAAAAAAATCTTCAAACTAGAGGAAATCAATAGTTTAAGGCCAAAAGTCAGGTTATATTCAGATTAGAATAGTGCCATATTAATCGATTTTAATCTGATTTTTAATGGCTTTTTATTTACATAGGTAATTCCTATTTAGATGCGTTATAACAAGCCCATTTTTGTACTGAAACGGATTTAACTATCAATTTTACCTACTTAACGCATAAGAACGAGTTTATATCGAAAAAAGCATCATTTCCACACGTTTGTTTCTTTGATTTGCCTGGTGAGCTAGTTGTAAAGCGCTGTTTGCACTAATTTATGCTTTGAATACGTCGAAACAACGTTTTGTCATTTGCCTGTCTGCATGAGTAATGAAAATCAATGTTAGAAATTTTTTTGATCCCAAGAAAATAAAATGTACTGAACCAGTAGAGTTTATTTCCTCATAAAGAAAAATTCTCCTATTGACTGAATTCCGGACTGGGTTCAGGTTTGGATCCCACTCAATGAGTACTACACTAAAAGAAGAAATTAGTCATACCTTCATTCGTATAAGATCACCGGGAATATTGCTTGAGCAACATATAGAGTTTGTTCGAAAGCGAACATCAGGTACATATGAAAAAAACTTTCATTTCGTCCAAAACATGAGATCGGACTCGAATTAAAATTTTTTTTTGACTCAATGGACTCTACCAAGATTCCACTTTCACTACATTCTCACCTCACCCTAAAAGCAAGAGATTGCGTTTGCATGTTTATGTCTTTCTATTTTTGTTTAGAATTCTTCAATAATAACGATTGCAATTAATAAGGAGTACTATAATGTTATCCAAAAAACTGATGTAGAACTTCAACGTTTGAAGCAAGTTATTGAAGGACAATAAGATTCTCAAATCAAAAAAGCATTCGAAGCAATTGAAGTAACTCAAATAAATATTCTTTTTAATAAAGAAAATTTTTAATCGTTTTTTCTTTTAGTTACAGTATCAAGCTGAAAAAGAAAAAGAACAAGAAAAAAAAATATCACCAGAAATAGGGTGTGGGTGGGTATGGGCGTGAGTGGATGGATGTGGACAGTATAACTTTTTCATCCGCACCCACACATGCAGCCACAGCCACACCCTCATCCACACCCATACCCACACCCCTAATTAAAAAGATTTTTAAAAGAAATTTTTATGTGCTGTTTATAGGAACATCAACAATAACACTATGTATAGGTGAAATATATCAATTAAATATAAAATTAGAAACACTTTTGGAACAACTTAGATGTACAATATCTGAAATAAATTTATCATCGTCCAGCAATAGTACTTCAACATCATGTGTATCATTACAAAAACAACAAGAAAATCAATCAAAAGAAAAAAGAAGGCCATGTTTAAGCTGGAGAATCAAAAGAAATGGTGTTGAAGTATTACCAATAGCTACTTTTGAAGGACGAGATCTTAAAACACCTGATAAGACTGCACACACAACTTTATCAACCGAGTTTCTACTTAAACATGTTTTATCAATATATCCAAGAAAATCACCAGCAAATAAGAAACTATTAAAACCAAAAGTAATCAAACATATATCGAAACCTTTAAGTGGTTATTTGCTTTTAATGGACACAGTTATGTCTGATCAAGTAACTTGGCATATACCAATGCCTGTTTTATTTGATCAATAAGACATGCATCCTGTAACCCTTTCCAGAGACCCCTGATTTTAGTCAATTCGACTGGGATCACCCGAGAAAGCATCTTGACAGGAGTAATTTATCATGCGGAGTCGAGTGGTGATGTTTGTTTTTGGGTTCGACTTGATTTGATATTATAATCTCAATATTTCTGAAATGATGACTCATTACGCTACAGGGCGCCAAAATGTGCACTTTCAGAAATATTGAGATTAAAATGTCAAATCAATTCGAACCCAAAAACAAACATCATCACTCGACTCAGCATGATAAATTACCCCTGTCTAGATGCTTTTCCAGGTGATCCTAGTCGAATTGACTAAAATCAGAGATCTCTGAAAAACTCTTGTAACTCCTTAACGAAAGAAGCTAAAAAGGTGGGCTTTGTGTAGATCGAAAGAGAACACTTTTGACTATCGAATACTCATGTCAAAACTTAAATTTGAATCAAAAATGTCTTCCAAATATCATTTGTAAAATGTTCATCGGAAATTCATCCCATTGGTCAATGGCTGTCCAATCGAATTCTAGCACATGATCACATGTCCCACATTTCTCTTTCGAATGATGAAAACCGCAGGTCGATAGCTGCTTTCGTTCTTGAGTTATTAAAAAAACTACCAATTGTATTCTATTTTTTGAAATGAATAGTAATATTATCAAAAAATTCTGTAAGTCTTAGAAAATCTAGAATTATATTGAACTAAAAAAATAAAATATTCAAATATATGTTTGTTATTATATTTGCCATCATGAAAAAAAACCAACGAGAATATATGTTCTCGAACTGTGTTTCGAAAGAAAATAACGTTATATGCTTACTATTTAATATAATGATTAATTATTGAAAAAAGCGCAGAATTGTAATCGATATCATGTCAAGTTTCGTATCTTTTCTGTTTTTTCTTTATACTATTGATTCATTTTGAAAGAGTCATTTTTAAGATACTACGTAATTTAAATGTGCTCTTTACATTTGTCATTAATGGAGAAGATGTTAGAAAAAAAAGTGAGTACTTAATAGAGATAAAGTATATTCATATTCTATTTTTTATCAGTTTATTTGTCTTCTGTCAGCTTTACTCTCTTTGACATTATATCCAAAAGACGCATGTTGTTATTTTTCAAACATTCTAATAAAATACGTTAGTGTACTCTTGTATGTGTATTTCGTTAGTTTCTTCTTTTTTATTTTTTATTACTCTATGATAAGGTCATAATAATGAGCGAAAAATATGCAGATCAAAGTTTATCTTTGGTTTTATTCTTTTTTTATATGGTTAGATAAGAGTCTTGTTAGATTTACTACAACATCTTTTTTTTAATATGACTTTGACAGTTCTTTTTTAAGATATACAATGGTTTTTTCATTTCTTTCAACCTGAAATAAACTAAAGAGCGACAAAAGATGATCATTATTCTTCAACTTTTTATTTTTATTTTCATGTTTTTCTTTATTTTGATTAAATATAACATATGTATATGATGTTTATTATGGCTAGCATTTATTTGAGCAATAAAATTATGGAATGAGCAATAATTTGTAAGTAATAAAAAAACTTTATTTGAGCAATTTTATATTATTATATGTACAATAATTAATTCATTAAATAGCAGTAGTAATTCCATATTTTAGCAATAAAAAAGAAAACTACATTAGTTTTAGTTACAACTGAAAATAAAAAAATGAAAAATATAGTATATTATTGTGTCAATAAAGCATTTTTGCCTTAAATGATCTGCCTCTTTTTCTTACGTATTTGTATATATAAATGTGTTAGATCCGTAATATGTTCTTGTATATATATACTGTTTATTTCCGAAAAATAAGAGCCTCCCTGCTATCACATACGTAGATATATATCTGAAATGACGGAATATACCAGGAATAGATATGATACGAATGGAATATACCTGAATGATTGTATGAAAGGAAGAAATCAAGAATCCAAGAGAAAGCAATATGTGAATGTATCTGATGGAGGGAGTTGTACTGGGTTTTCTGAATCTGACTAACGGATTATGAGTCATTCTATCATCTCGAATACTGAACTGTTATTCGAATACACATTTTCTAGGCTAATGTTCACTCTTTCAGACTATGATCAGAACTGCACAAGAGCCATTCACAGCCGCAAATTTTTAAATAAAAAGATCCGGATCCATGTCTGGACCTGGACCTTTTTGTTTAAAAATTTTCGGCTATGAATGGCTCTTGTACAGTTCTAATCATATAGTCTGAAAGAGCAAACATTGCTCTAGAAAATGTGTACTCGAATAACAGTTCAATATTTGAGACGATAGAATGACTCACGATCCGTTGGCAGGATCCAGAAAACCCGGTGCAACTCCCTATCTGACAGAAAGAAAGATAACGAAAGGCGTAGATATATATGTATCGAAAGAAAGAAAGAGATCGAAAATACACATGTATAGTATAACAAAACTCTCTCTTATAGCACATCTTTGAAATATGCCATCACAAAATCAATCCATATTGTCCCTTTTTATATAAAATTTACCTTTAATTTAAATAAATTATTGCTCATTCAATATAATTATTTCTCATTTAAATTATTTTATTGCTGAATTAAATATAACTCGTTTATTATTAACTTCGAAAATCTTATCTATATAATGAATAGAAAGTAAGAAATATTTTGATTTTTATTTCAGATCTGAAGCTAATCTCATACGGTCCACGCCCATTGAAAGTATACCCTTCGAGTTTTTTGTGTTTTTTTTTATTAATATACGTTCTTTATGTATTAATCTACTATATATATGAAGAAAGCCCGGAATGCGCTGCATCTTTTGGTACATTTACATTGACCATCAAACGCAGTTTGAAGTATAAAAAGTGTGATAGAAAAAAAAGTGACATTTTTTCTTTTATCAAATTTCGGGTATCCGTACTGGTGTAATATTTTTTTTTCGCATATATCTCGACTTAGGTAAATGATAAAACGTTGAATTTTTTTCCAAAAGATGCGCCGTAAAAAGCTCTACAAAAGCTGCATAATCGAATTCTTTTTTATCTGCTCTAGTGGTTTTTCTGATACTCACAATGAAACAACTTACATAGCAGTATCAATTCCCATCATGTAGAAAACGTTTCGAGGGCTTCTCTGATTCACTACAGGACTTGGTCTATACAAGTTTTGTAGAGCTTTCGACGGCATACCTTTTTGAAAAAAAATTCCATATTCCGTCATTTTCTCAAGTCGAGATATATGGTGATTAAAAAAGTCTTCCAACAGTTCCAGTATGATGGAAAATGACACTGGCATGTGATTTGTTCATTTTGAGTATCAGAAAAATAACTAGAACAGGTAAAAAAACGAATTCGATTATGCAGCTTTTGTAGAGCTTTTCGCGGCACATCTTTTGGAAATAAATTCAACGTTTTATCATTTACCTAAGTCGAGATATATGCGAAATAAAAAATGTTACAACATTATGAACATTGTGGCAAAAAAGAAAAAGTGACTTTTACTTCTAATACACCTTTCATACTTTAAACTGCATTTGATGGTCAATGTAAATATACCAAAAGATGCAGCGCATTTCGGACTTTCTTCCTATGTATAGTAGGTTGATAGATAAAAAACGTATATTAATATAACACAAAAAATTCGAACGGTATACTTTCAATGGGCGTGGACTGTATATAAAGAAGAATGTTTGTCTGTCTGTCTGTTCTTTATGCATTTCCACACCGTACGAACGAACGCAATCAAACTTTACAGGAATTCTCCTCTCACTCAGGAGAAGGTCAACACTTGCTTTTTTTTCAAAAAGAATTGGTTTTTCGCTCGCAAAAAAGTATGCCTATGTTTCTGACCAATCAGATTACAGTATTCGGTATTATAGAAGTACTATTGAGCAGTACTTCGTGAACACACAGAAAACATGGAACCAGAGGATTTTGAGGGAGATGAGTTCGAATCTGGGGGTCCATTCGCCTCGAAATCTGATTGATTGTCCGGAAACCAATAGGAAAATAGCTCCTAAGAAAACAGACGACGACACTTATACTTTCGAGAAAATGATGAGACAGGGATTTTTGGACGTGATAAATTCGAATCTGGGGTCCAATCACCTCGATAACTTAATGATTTGTGCAGAATCAACAGACACCGAGTTTTTCGGTAAAGAGTATCACTGAACGATCGCAAGAAGGACATTAGAAATCGGAAATTTGTCGAGCACGATACCTTACTGGACGACCGATGGCTTTATTGGGTGAGGCATGTCAAATACACATGGAGTTTTAGAGAAACTGATACCTTTGGAGAACGTCTGTGGTGAGAATTTCGAATAAGTGGTCTACTAGGCTCAAGGTTTTGTTCGTCGTAGATTTCGATGATCAAGTTCTTAAATAGATCTTTTGCACGAAGATCTTTTTGTGTGTCTTCTTTTGCAACCAATCAAAATTCAGTATGTTTTCAGCAGTGCAAAGCACAATATACTGTCGTAACTCTCCTATTCAATAGATATTGTAAAACTGAAGTTCTAGACCAAGTAGATGTGTGGTTGTGTTGAGTTTTGATGGAAGCGGGTTTTCCTTGCATGTCTGTCGGAAAATTGATCTCCCAAATGAGTTTCCTCTAAATATACAATCAAACAACTACAGAATCAGGACTGAAATTCTCACCAGGTGAGACAAGAGCCGGTCAAGATCGGAACTAATTGAGATAATTGTGTGCTCCGACATGTATTTAGAAGTATAGAAAGTCGACAAAATTTATATGAGCTACCAAGGTCTTCTCGATCTACACATATAAGGACGAAGAATTCCTCACCTCAGAGCAATCTTTCAGTGTTATTAATCTATATCCTTTGAGGGTGTGATCAGATGGAATCGAGACTCAGAATATGTCTGAGAGTTTAGATCAAAATCGGTATGGGGGCAAAAATAGTAGTTATGCATATCTACTATCCACTAATTAGACTTTTCAGATCTTCTCAAGCACAATTGAGCATTGTTTCCATATATTAAGTGTGAAATTTCCCAGGCAACGCCGGGTACTTCTGCTAGTTTTATATAAAAACAAAAAGAAAAAAAAATAATATGGACTCTCCATCAATGTTAACACCAACGGCAAATGTACCTCGTGCAACATCATCATCATCATTACCATTTGTTCATCGTTATTATATACTTTTAAAAGCACATTATTTTCTTTTTTTTTCGGCATTTG